AAATTTCAGCGCAAAGCTTGCTTGATTGCCGGGTTGAAATACCCCGACAGGCACACATACATACAAACACACACACAAGGGTTGTCACAGTATGCGTTTTTGCATTTGCATATATGCAAATGACAGATGATTCGTGAAGATCACTTCTAATTGATGATAAATCCACTACCTTAAGATTTCTCTGCTCTTATTCCTCAAGCAAAATTGTCTTATCATGCTCCTAGGTTATGTTGTGTTTGGTCCTTTACCGTGTTTTGCGGTGCAAGACGTTCTATAGGTTTTCTAGAATGAATGGTTAATGTATACATTTCTCGATACCAACCTACAGTTGGTAGGTACCTATCGAGAGGTTTAGACTGTTCCCTGGCAGCATCCTTTCATCACATAAGAGAATTAACAGCCCATCCGCTTCGCTTGTCAGCCTGCCGATACGTACCGGGCCGAAAAACTAGGATGGCGAAGCGCACTTTTCATTCATTAATTCCCGTATTACGTTCGAGGTGCGATGCTGTTGTCGCGAGTCTCGTTATTTTTCAGAATGACCTTTTACATTCCCAGTCGAATAGATGTATATGTATATATTTAATACTGAAAACACTTGTTGACACAAATATACACATTTATGTTAACAAATGTTGAAGTAAATACTGAAAACGGAGATATGAAAGTAAAAATACCGCCGCGGATTTCTATTAAATCCCACAACGGGGACATGGCTGGGAAAAATCTACAGCTGGGAAATAACTAAAAAAAACTGAAGCTCAGAAAAAAGTATTTTATCGCCTTCCGGCGACACTGTACGAACCCGAAAATTACCGGGAAAACAGCAGCTGAAGTTTTGTCAGAAAACTTATTGTTTATATAGAAAATCGTAGAACTAAATTGAGTTCGGTTTCGCACTTGCGCCACGAAGCTGAAAATTTGCAAGGATATTCTTTATTCACGTATGGTCTTAATTCAGCTTGCAGACGAAGTTCCCTGCGCGCAGACATGACAAATACTCAATTTTATCGCAAAACTCAAAAGTGAGTGCATTTTACAGATTTCATAATCCTCTTCCGATTTTCTTCATATTTGCGTTTTTTCAGTGAGCTAGCAATCACTCGAAAGCGACAGGGCTTCATGGAAGAAAACCCAGGCTGTAACGCACCGGGTTTGCCGGTATGATCATGCGTTTTTGCGCTAAGCCTGCAGATCGCTAAGAGTAGGGACGGTTCTTACGCTGTAGTTTAACACTTGGACCAATATTGGCTGTATTTTGACCTCTTTCCGCATACAGGGGAAAAGGCGTCGGCTAGGATGAAGGTGTTATGTTATGGGGTCGCTTGAACCCCCAGCATACATGATTATCAGTTTTTTGCATGAAGCCCGGTGCACTCAGTTTTGATTTTGCGATAAAACAGAGTATTTATCCTGTCTGCTTGCACGGAATTTCATCTCGAAACTAATTAAGACCCCGTATGAATATAGAATATTCTTGTAAAGTTTCAGCTTCACAACTTAACTGGTAAGCGTGACAGCCACTTCGCTGCAAATAACTTTGAAGTGTCCTAAATCGCGACGTGAGTGCAAATCGAAATTCAATTAAAATATACGATTCTCTATACGAACAATAAATATTCTGAAAAAATTTAAGCTACTGTTTTAGGGCTAGTTTTCGAGTTAGCACAGTGCCAACCCAAACCGAGGCTGGAACGCACCAGGCGAGCCAGTGCGATCATGCCTTTTTTCATTATTTCGTGTCGTATCCAGATCACAAGGATTCACAATAGTTTGAATTTGTAAAACACTGACCCTCAAAGTTCAGGAAGATAACTACGCATATATATGGCATATCAGCTGTAGATGTCGGCTTCAGCGACCCGTTAATGGAAAGTTGCAAGTGGGTGAAAAAGACTCCACTAGAAGAGTTGAATTTGAAATCTTTTAGTTGCACATGAGTAGGGAAAAATTCCTTAAAATTAAAGCCTTCTAGCCTTTTTCGTTCCTGAGTTGGCAATATTCCCACCAAAACTTTATGTGTCCGGGCGGTCCAAAGCAGCTGAGTTTGAAATCTTTTGGTCGACATGAGTAGGAAAGGTATCCCTAAAGTTTCAGCTTTCCCCGAATTAACAGTTTTCTCGCCAAAACTTTCACGCGCCCGTGCTTGAGACGTAGACGTGTGTGACAGTCGATATCACGTTCCTGACGGTCGCATTTGGCCAAGGAATATCCTAGCAAAATTTCAGCATCGAAGCTTGCGTGGTGAACGACTACAAATCCCTGGGCAGACGAACACACACACGCAAATACAAACATAAATACATACACACAAGACGGGCAAGGTTGTTGCAGTATGCGTTTTTGCTGCCCGTTGTAGTGCTCTAACGCTACACGGCAAAAACTCATAATAATGATCATGCATGCCGGAGGTCTACGTGGCCCCATAATTCAGCACTTTCATCTCAGCCAACGCCCTCTACCTCTGCACGTTGGAAAAGGCCAAAACACAACCAGTATGAACCCAAGCATTGAACTACAGCGCAAGAACCATTCCGGTTGTTAACAACCTGCAAGTTTTGCGCAAAAACGCATGATCGCACTGGCAGGCCTGGTGCGCTGCAGTCTGAGTTTATTACTCGTCGCGACTCTTTTTTAAACTAGATTTCAAGAAAATTTTCAAAAACACTCATGTTTGTGCTTCTATCACGACCAGCGACGATGCTGTGGTTGAAGAATTTTTTCTGAACTCGATATTCATGCGGTTAGACTACAGATAAAGGCGTTGGCTTGGAATAATTTGGCAGATCTGTTTATCTTGAACAAGTGTAACCCTACAATTCAATTTTCTTCCTCTCACTAATCCTTAACATTTCGACCTCCTTCCCTCCGCTCACTAATTTCTAACAGTTCCACCAAATTCTAAATAATTTCATATTAGCTACCTTCTCACTCATTGACTAACTTGCCCTCCTTTTCCCTTCATTAATTTTCCTTATATAAACCCCTTCCTAAAACCCAGGCTCTTAGTTTTGGAAATCAACAAACGCCATTCGTCCGCTACGTTCTTCCACTAGTAGCGCTTCTAGCGTCTCGCCACAACACCACCGTCGTTCTTTCGCTGAACAGCTTGTGCGGCACCCGGCTCGTCGTTTTATTTGAAGCGAAGCTCTTGTAGGAAGAATAAAGTGCTGGTATTCTTCCCTGTCTTCCGCTGCTGCAGTCAAGGACCACGTAAGGACCTAATACAATAAGTAAATATGTGCCACAATTTCTAGCCGAAATTGCGCGCAGAAGAGCTAACGCAAATTTCCCAAAATCGTCGATGTTCTCAAAATTTCAAACGAAGATGACCATGCTTTTCTCTACCGCACCAATCGAGCCAAAGGCAACGATGCACGGATAAGAAACCAGCAGCTACTAAAACTCGACCGGACTCGGTTCGGCTTGACAGGGTGAGAAGTCAAGTTTGTCGTCGGCAGGACGAGAAGAGGAGGGAGTGAAGGTCCAGAGTGGTGGTTTAGGTCTCAGGAGTCGTCAGAAGAGAACGAGGTTTCTAACTGGGAAGATCTTACTTGGAAATAGGAATTGGAGACGGCGATGCTCATGGGGCAAGGAGCGCTTCTATG